TACCAAGAGGGATTTCAAAGGCGTTTGCCTATATTTCCTTTAATAAATTTGATTTGACTTGACTAGTTACCCCATGCACCTGTTTAGAAGGGGCCCTATAAGTCCTCCTCTCCTTAAGTCAATAATCACCCCGCTTTTCCGATCAGGAGAGCGTTCTAGCCACTGTCCATGAGTGGGCCAACTCAGATTTACGAAAATAGGAAATCGGTCACCATCCACACTAACTCGCTTACTTGCATCCGAAAACTCTGCCAATTCAAATGGAGTTTGCCCTCTCCACTTCCTCTGAAAAGGACAGAAAATAGGCGTCGAAACCGTACAAACAACATTTGGTCTGCCAGAATGCTCAAACTGATTCCTGCATTTTGTTTATGCTGATTGGTCACCAATGCCATGTCATCATACAGGTGCATTTACGGGCCTGCCAACGTCATCCGTTTTATGACCAAGTGGGTATGCACTACAGCGCACGAAAAGATCAAGGTGTGGTAATCAGGCAGGGTATCTGTAAACAGGTGTGTCACGCGGTCAGCGATGCGCACTCTCAAGCCTTGTCAGCAGCCGCACGGATGAATATGTTCCCTAAGGCGCTCGGTAAGCACCCCACTACCACTACCCGATCGCAGCCGACAGGACAATAAGCCCTTAGCTGACTAGTTAGGATCTTGAACGTCTAACCAACAGTTCCGGGTTCGAGCCTCAATAATTATAAAAACCTGGCTGGCTATTGACGGCTATTAAGCCAGAAATGTCAATTTCAGTTTACCTGGTCCTTTCTTGCAAGGCAATTATGCACAAAAGGACGAGTGTGTCTCGTAACACGATCTTCGAGCGCCCAACCTACAGATGTCTCTTTTTCCTCCTCACGTTTGACCTGTGGGCCTTTTAGATTCACCTACCCTCTTTTTTTAGAATCCACCCGGACAATCTCTCCCTGATGCACTCACTGATGATATGTAAGTATCTCCTTTATGATCTTTTATTTAGAAGAACGTTTCTCCTAGTTTGGAAGCCGTCTCAGATCGCCATTTTCCTTTAAGAAGATCCTTATGTGCCTATGTGATGAGTTTCGAACCCCAGAGACGCTCTGAAAACAGCGCACGACTGTCTGAAGGGGCAAGACACGTTTTAGGGCCAACGATTTTCTGTACTGCTGGCGATTTCCCGATATTATATGAATGGTAGGGCCCGCTAGCACACTCCCAAAGATTAGCTTTCTTTTACAGTGGTATGCCCTTTACTGGTTTATATTAGAGAGACTATGGGGACTATCTAAACTGTTCCATTCGGGCCATAGTTAAGGTGAAATCAGCCGGCTATCGTATTGGAAATCAGAATGTAGTAAATCTTATCTGGCCAGGGCATGTTTGTAGCGGATGATCTACTGCGATTGCTGACATGATTGATTTCCGTTATTGTCACTAACTTCTTTCTGCTGACTTAACAGCATTCGTCGCGGTGTCATTAGCTTCCGTTCTGAAGAGGCTACAACACTTGTCCTTTCTTTTGTAGACCACATTCCCAGCTGCCGGCCGATGCCTTATCCCTGCGGAACCAGCAGCTCTCCGCTCTCATCGGCACTCTACAGGCCGAGTGTGACCAGGTTCTCACCGCCAACAACGAGCTCACCCTGGAACTAGTTTTATTGCAACAGCGTCGAATTGCATTGGAGATCTTGTTGGAACGGCTGACTCCTCTGGAAGCATAAAGCAATTTGAATCTTTTGTTCCCCTCAGCTCTTTCCATTCTCTCTCCCCCCCCCACCTTTTCAACTTCTCTTCGGGAGTCCACTCTATCCCCATCCGTCTGATGTATTTACTGACACTTATTCCATCGACATCGTCCAACGTCAGGCCACCGACCTCCGCCCCGCGTGACCGACTTCGTCTCCTGAACCCAAGTCGTGCAATTTCAGTACTATATGCCGGTGTTAAGTTTATTTCTTTTGCGATTTTGCCTTCTCCCAAATCGTGCGGAAAGATCGTCTTAGATGCTCCTTGTAAGTCCCAGCGGACTTTTGTACGCATGAGGATATTCATCATTAGCGGATCGGTCGGCTCCAGTTTATGGTTCAAAGCTAGGACTGCGCACAGCTGTGCCATATCGGTCAACGTGTATGAAGGGCACAGTTGACCGGAACTGTTTCTGACCGATGGTATCGCCGTTCATTACAGGCGTGCTTGGGCAACTGAGTTTGGGGAATGGATCACTACCACACCCTTTTGAGACATTTTGAGCCCATGGGTTGGGTTTTACATCCGTATGAAAGGATTGTCTTGAGAGAGGTTTAGTATACACACTGTTTAGCCTCCTGGCTAATATCTAGTCGACTTAGATGCTTCGACTGAATCGACCGAAGTCTGTACCTGCTTGGTTGATCGTCTGGCCACTTTCCTATCTGCCCTAACTGCTCGCAGTGAGTTTGACCAGGTGTATAAGAAATCGTCCACTAATCCCAGAACACCACTTATCAAGACTTAGCCCATTGACAGAGAGGGAACCAAAGGTAATCATCTAGGTCTCGTGCAACTGTTTTCAGATGCATTTAGGATATCCTCGTACTTGCCTCGCGCACCGTGGGCTTCCTTCATGCATAGGAACTCTGCAAATTAGCGGGAACTCCAGCGTAGTCAATGCAGTTATTACAGTGTATTGTGGCTCCAGCTTCGGGGACACTCGTTTTCCTCTTTCTGGATCAGCAAGGGCGAAAATAGAACCAAATCAGCCGAATAGCGGCTTTAGGGTGGAAAAGATGCCTAAATCGCCAGAAAAACCCCATTATGGGGGAATGCATTTGTGACCTACTCTGGCTCGCAACGAAAGCCCGGAATCGGGTTTAAAATAGGGACCTAGGGTACGCACAGGCGTTGTACAACGGTTTCGGCTGACTATGCGTCTAGCAGTTTGTCCGTCAAAGTTGAGATGAACAGTGGGGTACCAAAGTGGCCGTTTGTGTGTAGGGGTCTAGGTTGTGGTTGTGCCTAGATCACTACAATCATCAGGTC